AGATCACCTTGTTATTCAAAGCCAGCTACCAGATTTTTCCTGGATGGGAGAAACCAGGATTCAACCCCAAGCTATATTGGATCGACGACTAGTCCAGTGCAAGAATGAAGGAGTGAATGTTCTAGTCCAGTGGGCCAACTTTCCAGTTGAGGATGCTACTTGGGAATCTTACCACTCAAGAAGAAATTTCTGGAGTTCGTTGCTTCCCAACCCTGAGGACAAGGTTGTTAATAAGGGTGGAGGAATGATACAATTGCTTTCTATATTGGTAGGATTCTGCTGAATTTTAGGAGGCAATTGCGCTGTTTGTCTTGGCATGATTTATTTTCTTTTCCGGTAATCTTGTTATGTCTGTTGCTGGCTGGTGTTCTAGTGATAGAAGGGTGTAGATGCTGTATGGCCTTTTATGCAATCAATGAGAATTCACCTTAAAGGTTTGGAGGCTTGATCCTCTTGAAGTGATCTTCTTCTTCTTATTTTCCCCATTTTGTTCATTCAGTCACTAAAAACTACCATACATGTTCTATCATTAGAACCATGTCCATTGGATATGAAAGGTAAAAGATGCAGGATATACCGTCATTTCTCCATACTCCTTTCATGGGCCCCAATCTGGACCCATATAGATAATTTGAACAATCTACGTCATAGGCCTCATAAGAAAGATCATCCATGTAAAAAATCAGTTTCATTGAACAACTATAAACATAAACACATAAATAAATCACATTTTATTTTATAAAATGAATGGCAAATATAATAATAAACTTAAACTATTCATTTTATAAAACAAAATACAATTTGATTCTTTATTTATAGTTGTTCAATAAAATTGATTTTTTGCATAGATAACCGTCATTACGAGACCCTATGAAGTAGACGGTTCAGATTATTGGTGTGAGTACGAATTGAGACCCATAAGAGGGATATGGAAGAGTATGGAGAAAAGCTCATCCTGTGTCGGAAACACTTCTCAGATTCTCTAATTGTTTATAATCTTCAAGCCAAACATGAAAATTTGTGGGCTTTGAGTGATTGTGTGCTTCACACCAGGTAGTATTTTTAAACTATCTTTGTGCAAGGCTAACCCCCTTAAACCAGAGAGAGAGTTCCCACCCACAAACATTGAAATCTTTCACACTGTTGCTTCAAATATGAACTAAAAATATTAATTGACAGTTATGGTTGTACGAAACCTGCAATTTTTCATTTGAAAGCCCGTGTTGACAAAATTATTTTTATGGGGAAACACTATGGTTATGCACCTTATAATTAAAAAGAAAAATAACATAATTTCAATTTTCTGAGTCATAACTAAAAAAAGAAACTCTGCCGCGGTAGTTAGCAACTCCGCCGGTCCCAAGCCCAGGTAAAGGACGAGGGTTGTGTGTTAGGTAGCCGACAGCCAACATGTAAAAAACCTGCTCGGATCCCAAATGAAAATGAATCTTACTTTAAATCGATTACATGTTAGGTCGTTCCCCTCAAGTAACGCGTTGCGCCTACCTCCGAGTGTTTCGAAAAGTGAGTAAGGGGCGCTGCATCGACACTTGGGTGTAGTGAAAAATAGGCAAAAATTCCCGCGTTTTTCTAGACGAGCGAGAATAAAGAAGCTAATCCAAAACTATAGGCTTAGGATAGCCACCTGGAATATAGGAACTTTAACTGATAAGACGATAGAATTGGTAGATGTTATGATTAGGAGGAGAGTTAGTATAGCATGCGCACAAGGAATTAAGTGAACGAGTGAGAAAGTTAGGGAAATAGAGGATACCCGTTTTAAACTGTATTATAGTGGTAAGGATAGATGCAAGAATGGGATAGGAATCATAGTTGCCAAGGGTCTTGTGGAAAATGTAGTGTTAGTCATTAGGAAAGGAGATAGGATTATGTTAGTTAAACTAGTTATTGGAGGAAATATAGTGAACGTTATTTGTGCATACGCCCATTAAGTAGGATTAGATGATCAAACTAAGAGGGATTTTTGACAGCAAATAGATGAGATCTTACAGGAGATATTTGTAGGAGAGAACCTAGTTATAGGTGGAGATTTCAATAAACATGTCGGCATAGATAAACTAAGTTATGAAAGGGTTCATGGCGGATACGATTTTAGTAATAGAAATGAGACTGGAGAGAGTATCTTCGATTTTGCATTGGCTTTGACCTAGTGGTGGCCAATACTATGTATAAGAAGAAGGAGGAGCATTTGATAACTTTTAAGAGTGGCTCCGTTAAAAGCCAAATAGATTACTTTTTAGTGAGAAAAATGGACCGCTTAAAATGCATTGATTGTAAGGTGATTCTTGGAGAGAGCCTAGCCTCTCAACATAGGATTTTGATACTAGATTTATGTTTTAAAAGGCAATACCAAGCTAGGAAGGATGGTGGACGTCGTAAGACGAGATGGTGGAACCTCAAAGGAGATAAATTAGAAATATTTAAAAATAGAACGGATAAGAAAGGTGCTTGAGACTTGGAAGATGATACTAATACTATGTGAAACTTAATGACCAATTGTATGAGGAGAATCTCAAGAGAAGTACTTGGAGAGTCGAAAGGAACGGGACCCAGCTCTAGGAAAACTTGGTGGTGAAGGGAAGAGGTTCAAACGGTCGTTAAGGCAAAAAAAGAGTGCTTTAAAAAGTGGTAGAAGGATAGAACTGAGAAAAACCTTAAGAGTTATAGATTGGCTAATAAGGAGGTCAAGAAAATAGTGAGAGAGGCTAAGTTGAAAGCTTATGATGACTTATACACTAGACTAGATAGTAAGGAGGGAGAGAAGAGGATATACAAACTTGCTAAGATACGAAAGAAGAAAACAAGAAATTTGAATCAAGTTAAGTGCATTAAGAGTGAGGATTCTAAGATATTGGTGAAGGATGAAGAGATTAAGGAGAGATGGAAGAACTATTTTGAGAAATTATTAAATGAGGAATATGGAGGTACGTCAATAGGGGAAGAAATAACCAGTAATATGATAAACCAAGACTATAGGTTCTATTGTAGGATTAGGAACTTTGAAGTAAAGATTGCACTTAATAAGATGAAATCAAATAAAGCTTTAGGACCTCATGATATCTCTATTGAAGCTTGGAAGTGTTTGGGTAAAAAAGGAGTTGCTTGGTTGACTAAGTTGTTTAGAAAAATTTTGTTGACTATGAACATGCCAGATGAGTGGAGAAAGAGTATTTTAGTGTCAATCTATAAGAATAAAGGAGATGTCCAGAATTACAACTATAGAGGAATCAAGCTAATGTATCATATAATGAAAGTGTGGGAAAGGGTGATAGCACGCCAATTGCGAGATATAACAAAGGTGCCAGAGAATCAATTTGAGTTTATGCCTGGCAGGTCGACAATGGAAACGATCTATCTGTTGAAGAGAGTAATAAAAAAGTATAGAAAAAAGAAAAGAGATATTCATATGGTGTTTATCGATCTTGAGAAAGCATATGATAGAGTGCCTTGGGATATAAAATGATGGGTGTTAGAGAAGAAAATGACAAAAGGTTACACTAATATGATTAAAGACATGTATGAAGGAGTGGTGACCACTATTAGATCGCATGCTGGAGAAACAAATGAATTTCAAATCACTATAGGGATACTCCAAGGATCTACCTTAAGTCCTTATCTTTTTGAGTTAGTTATAGATGAATTGACGAGAAATATTTAGGATGACGTGCCATGTTGTATGCTTTTTGCAGATGATATCGTGTTAGTGGATAAGACTAGAGAAGGAGTTAACTCAAAGTTAGAGAGTTGGAGAAAAGCATTTGAATCTAAAAAATTTTCAATAAGCAGAACTAAGACAGTGTATATGGAGTGTAAATTTAGTAACAGTAGCAATGAAAGCAGAGAAAAAGTGAAGATTGAGAACCAAGTACTGCCTAAAAATGAACATTTTCATTATTTAGAGTCGATTATCACAACGGTGAGGGAGATTGATGCAGATATAGCCTATAGAATTAAGACGGGATGGCTTAAGTGGAGAAGTGCATCTGGAGTACTATGCGATAAATGAATACCCACTAGCCTAAAAGGTAAATTCTATAGAACGGCTATTAGACCAGCGATGTTGTATGAGACAGAGTGTTAGGCAATCAAGAAACAACATGCCGATAAAATGAGTGTTGCTGAGATGAGGATGCTAAGGTGGATGTCTAGCAAAACTAGATAAGATAGAATTAGGAATGAGTGTATATGAAAATAGGTAGGAGTAGCACCGATAGAAAATAAGTTGAGAGAGAATCGATTGAGATGGTTTGGTCATATTTAATGGAAACCAATAGATGTAGTAGCAAAGAGATGCGATGCAGTAACGGTAGATGAAAGTGCTAGGGAACCGGCTAGCATTGTAAATAGAGATATGGATCTACTTAATATGACTAACGAAATGGCGTTTAATAGAGCCGCGTGGAGAAGAAAGATTCATGTGGCCGACCCCATTTGATGGGACTTAAGACTTAGTTTGGTTATAACTAAAAAAAGAAAAAATATTATAACCAAACTGAGGTATAACTAGAGAACTCATCACTCATAACTAAAATAATGTCATAATAATTAAAGAAGAAAATTGATCATAACTTCTAAAAAAAAAAAATAGCATATCATATGGTAAGGGTGTATATTATAATTTCCTTATTTTTACACATCCTCATTAAGGGCTATTCTGGGTGAAAAATTATTGGTTGGTCGTCGGATGCCACACCAATCACAATTCACATGCCCCTACCACCAATCACAACACTATTGGGCACCATGTGACGGTGTCCAACACCAACCAATAACTTCTCCAATCCAAACTGATTATTGGCTTTTCAGTTTATTTATATGCCATCATCTATTTAGTTTTCTCTTTTCGTAATAAATAAAATAAAATAAATCAAAAATTAACTCGTACCCAGAACAACGTAAGTCTAAATTTACAACCGTCACCTGAAAAATATTAAAAGTATCAGTGAACGGGAAAACGAGAAATTTTGAGAAAATTTAACCTGAAAAAGGATGGTGAGCCGAGCAAGCGGCGCCGTACAGGTCTTGCTGACGGCACCAGCGACGCCGCCGGCTAAGAGTTGCGAAATGGTCCCGATCTGCGATTGCTGATGCCACGCCCTCCGCTGCTCCACGAATTTATGCGCCGGACCGCCGTCGACGGCCACACATCCCTGGCTCGAATCGAGCGCTCCCCCTTCCACCACCACCCCAACCCTAGCCTCCGTCTGCATATCTTCTCCCTCTCTAAGTAAATCTTACGAATCTCTTGAGCCCGAACTCGAACTTCCACTACGTTTAGGATCTTACGAGAAAAAGAAAAGTAGGATCTTATGAGAAAAAGAAAAGAAAGGAAAGGATTAGTTAAGTTTGAAGAGAAGAGAGAAGAAAAGAAATTAGGGGAAAAAGAAAAGTAGGATCTTATGAGAAAATGAAAAGGAAGGATTAGTTAAGTTACAAGGGGAAAGAAAAAAAATAAAATAAAATGATTTGATTGTGATTTTTTTTCTTTTTTGTTTAGATAAGAAAAAAATAAAAAAAAAAGAAATGATTGTAATTTGTTTTATTTTTGCTTGGTTAGATTTTATTAAGACTAAAAAAAAAAGGAAATTATTTTATATTACACTATCAAAATAATCTTTTTATATTTTTAATTATTTTATTTCTTTTATTTTTATAGGAATAAAATTGGTATTATGAAAATGGGTATTTTTTTTAAGATTCCTGATATTATGATTTTATATTATAAAGGACATCAAATATTTTCATGATGTCTAAGGTCCCTCAACATCAATCCAGAGAAAATTGGTCTAGAGAAAATTAGTCCAGAGAAAATTCAAGTCAGAGAAATTGGTCCAGAGAAATTTTTAAATTTCTCTGGACATCCCTAAACTTCCTAAAATTCTCTGTCCTTTTTTTTTTTTTTAAACATAAGAATTCTCCTACCTCAACTCACTTCCTTGCTTCTCAAAGGTGAGGAAGAAAGGCAACTTCTCTAACCGATGAGCCTCCAAAAAACAGATGCAGAGAGGTGTTTGGTCCAGGCCATGAATACGAAGCAGTGATAATGGAACAAATTTATGTAGTTCATCTATCGTATCCGTTATCATGAATCCAAAGAAAATTTAAATTTCTCTAGGTTGAATCCAGAGAAATTTGAGAAATTATTGCCTTCACTTAGCCTTCTCTTGCATGGAAGTGTTGGATGATCTTGAGAAATATAAGTTCAATTTGAAGTTGGGTTCTAAAGTGAGATTCGTCATGAGCCTTATACCTCGGTGCATCATCAGGAAAGAGAAGGTTCTGATCTTCTGCCACAACATTGCTCCGATTAATCTATTTCTAGAGATATTCGATGACATGGAAAAAGTGGGTGTTGAGCATGATTTTCAGTGAGGAGCACATAGAGGACCCATCCCAATGGCAAGCAGAGAAAATTGAAGACGATATCTTGAGAGAGATCGTATGTGGGGTCTGGCTACGTTAATCATTGTTGAAAATGGAGTCGGCGAATTGCAGACTGTAGCGCCTCCTCCACCTGATCTACCGCCGGACAGGCCACCTCATCGCTTCCGTCCACGGCCGCGGCAGCTGTGGGGGGATTCAGAACGAGCCAGCGTTCAAGCATGTGGAGGGCGTCGAGTCGGTCAGAATCGGAGTCTGAAGTGAGTTGGAGCTCGGCGAGGTGGAAGAGTTCTGGAGGCGGTGGTTGTGGGTAAGAATGACGGTGGGTATGGGGTGGTGATGGGTCAGATTCCAGCGATGGTGGTGGTTGTGGTGGTGGTGGGTGAGAGTGGTGTGAGATCGGTGAGTTTAGGAGTGGAATCTCCACTGGGTAAAGCTTTGGGAAGTGTTGGAAGATGAGGACTCAGAGTCGGGTTGTTGGGGTGGCGGTGGGTCAGATGATGAAGATAGTATAAAGGACTGAAATTTCTTTGATATATGTTTAGGGACCTTAGACATCAAAAAATAATTTTGTGGATCTTTTCCATTACGAAAAGTAGGAGAGGGACCCTAGACCAATTTTCCCTTATGAAAATAGTGGTTTTTTTTCTTTCCCAATCTCTCCACTTTTGGAAAGATTGAAAATGAGGTTTATAAGATAAATGAGTTTCTCTCTATTTCTCCCAATTTCTTCTCATTTCTCTCTACTTAGATTATCCAAAAAAGTAATAGAAATACATATATCTATTTATTTTATTTTCTCTCCAAATCACTCAATTCAAACATAGTGTTCGTTCACGCCTTTCTCTATACTTAGGGTGTTTGGGAAGGTTTTTCTTTTGAGGGGGGAAGGGGGGCTAAAATAACACTAAAATAAAGTAAATTAAATAGAGATAAAATGTGACATAAAATTTATAATTATTATTATTTTTAAATAAACATCTAATTAAAAGAAAATTCAATCATTTTTTTAAGGGTCAATTTTACAGAAGGTACTATTCCTAAATGTTCAGTTCCATTTAATTTATTTTTTAAAAATATTTTATTAGGGGTTATTTAAGGTAATATGACCAAATCATCCTTCCAAACTTTTTGAGCGTGTTCCCATTTTGAAACCATTATACAATAAAAAATAATAATAGTCTCTCATTTTATGGAAAAAAATTTCTCCCTTATTCTAGAGAGAAAATCTCTTCCTTATTTCCTAGAGAAAATCTCTCATTTATTTAATGATATAAAATATCGCCCTTACTCCAGGGAGAAAATATCTCATATTCTCAAAATCTTAAATCATCTACCTTATTCCGACGTAAAGAAACAATGCCATGAACATTTACATTGATCGAAGTATAGACATTGTGAACATCCATATTGTTGGTGATTGCTTATATTTGTATACACATAACAATAAGCTTAATATGAGTTGCGATAAATAAATGTTGATGTGAATTTTCACATTACAAATATATGTCGGTAAAATAACACATTAATGTTGTTTGCACTTGTATGATTATTTTTGAATATGAATATTAACAGTGATTAATAATATGATGGTCACAACATTAATTGTAACACATTATAATGTAATAATTCACAAGAAGTAATAACTCCTTACAATATGAATATTCGCACCATGTAATAATCATGCAAAACTCATACAATAATCAGTGATATGTAAACATTCACATTATACGATAACAATATAATCATTACTCTACGTTACACGTCATGCAACCATTACATGCTTCTAATGTTGAAGTTCACTTCATAAAATGCAAAATATTAAAATATGATAATTCATAACAATAATAACTTCAGTGAATGTAAACATTCACATTTATTAAAATATCTACCCAATAAGCATACATACACTGATACATGAAGGTATCCATCTACTGTAAAAAAATAAAAATAAATAAGGAAGTGAACATCCATATTATAACCACATAATATCATAAATATGAAATAACCAATGATATGTGAACATTCACATCTTGAAAAAAATATAGCTATGTCCATATTTTGCATTGCTAATCCCAAACTGGAAATTTTATTACCACCATTACACATCATTATAGATTAAACAAGTTCAAATTCACACCACCAAATATAATGGCAATAAACAACATGCAAACATTCCCCCATGATATAACCAATAATATGTGAACGTTCACATTGTTCATGCAACGTAAACATTCACAACATCCAAAAAAATAGGGCCCTATATGAATGCATTACTAGACAAAAATCATAACCTCATTCAACAAAAATAAACTTGTATCTCCATGTAATCTAGAAAATAAAGTTGAAAGCTAAAAATAGAGCATACAATTCTTTATATAAATCCAAACATAAATGAACATGCATCCCTAAACAAAATAATACTAACCTTGAGACAAAATTATCTACTCGTTCTCTCATTCTGATCAATGTCTGACTTTGCAAAATTGTGTAAAAAAGCAGAGCATAAACAAGCAACACGAATGTAGTCTTGATTCGTCATCTTCCTCTAACACCAACGAAACCCTAGCACAACAAAGAAACACCACAATGAGAGTGAAACTGAATCACAATCAAAAGCATGAATTATGGTAACTGCAAAAACAAAAGGACAGTAAAAAAAAAAAGCGTGTATATCCTTTTTGTTTATAATATATATCAATAATAAATATAAGGGTATAATAGTCCAAAAAATAATGTAAATCAGAAAAAAAAATAATAATAAAAAATAAAAAGACCTCCTGGAGTAAAAGTATAAACAGATGAAACTAATTAGGTTATAAATTTTCTTTATAGACTTATTGGGTTAGAATATTCATAAATGGGATTTATCAATAAAAATTCATTTTTTTATAATATAATTATTTTAACATACTAAAATAGTCAAAAATTAAAATTATCTATTAATATAACCAAAAAATTAAAAAATACTTATAATTAGGGATACTCAGCGAATATTTCGATCTGCCCAAACCAACTGAACTAAATTGATCCGCCACATTTTGGACGAATGCGTGACAATAAGCAAATGGTTGCGGATTGAATTTTTCCAATCTATCTAGTTTTGGACATATGACAGATTTGAAAGTCCTTTGGCTGCAACCGCATCGCTAAACCGCGAGCACCCCTAGTAATTTGAAAGATTTTATGTTTTCAATTTGTTTAGATATTCTTGTAGGGGCCGAATATTGGGAGTTGTAAAGAGGCCGAATAGTTGAACTTGGAGAGTCGAAATATATATAGCACTCGGTCTCGTCTCGCACGTTCAAATCCTACCCTATTCGGCCAAATAACCGGTTGAGCAAGGAGGCCGAGTGAAAAGCAGTTTGAAACAAAAGAAGTCGAATGGCGAATTGAAAGTGGGCCCAATCCTGAGGCCCAAGAAAGAAAAGATATAAATAGAAGAACATCAGCCAGAAAGAGGTAGGTGAGAATCAATATGCTTAACTTAAAATATAAGTAATCCAGAGAGAGTGGAGACTAACTTGTCCGTCGGAGTGCTAATTCCGGCACCCCCGATCGGAGTGTTCATATCTTTTTAGATGACAATCTAAGGATCGCGAGCGTCCCCCAGGATCTGAAGAGTATTTCCAAACCACTTCCCCACAATTGGCGTCGTCTGTGGGAATACTCAAATACATCCATGGCGAGCGTAATGGAAGACCCTCCGATAGTCACTGACGAAACCACATAGAGAGATGACCTCACTCTAACAAACATGCTTGGACCAGAGACTATCGCCGCAAGACGCGCCTTGAACTTCGCCTTACCCTCGACTTCAACGCATGAGACAATGCAAGCGATCATGGAATAAGCAAAGCAAAACGAACAGAGGTTGGAGAACATGATCGCTGAGAATGAACGTCTCCGTCAGGATTTGGCCTTAGAAGTGGCGAAGTCCAAACAAGCTGTACGCCAAGATCTGGAACGATCTCTGAGGGTAGGTGGTCGATGACCTCGAG